GTAGAGCATTTGGGGAGCGGAGAGACCTGCAAACACCCCAAGCTGGCATTAGCCACAGCTCCCTCCCCAGCACAGATCGCCAGGGGTGCTGGCGCGGGAAGGCCAGTCAGTGCGTGGAGCCAGGGCTCCCCACCTCTGAAAGTGCTGCCTGGGCTGCCTCCAAGGACCCAGCAAGTAGAACGTGCTGAGCTGGGTCAGGGCAGACGCATGAACTCCCCTGTCCACAGCTGCAGCCACGTCATGTGTCAGCTGCATAATGGGCAAGTCCGCTCCCCGACCTGCCATGGCGAAGCTTGCACATAGTTGTAGCAGAGAGGAATTGCAGACAAGGCGGCGGGGGCTGGAAGCAGGTGGGACAGGAGGTGCTGATGGTGTAACGCTTGTGACTGCAGCTCCAGGAAGTCTTTGAGGACGTGGCTGTGTATTTCATGCGGGAGGAGTGGGAGCTGCTGGATGATGCAGACAAGGAGCTTTACCAGGACCAGATGCTGAAGAATTACCAAGCCCTCGTTTCCCTGGGTAAAGCTCTGATTCCTGCTTCTCCGTAGACCTGTGTGACCCCTGAAATTTCTTGTCTTCTCTTTCATCTCATGGGCTTCTGGCTGATGGTTTAAGTCCTCTTCCTCCCCACTGCTCTGTCAGTGATCAGGTCTGTCTGCCATCTCGTAGGGATATATCTTCCTTCACTTGCTCCTGTCCAAACACATTTAACAATCCCAGAGCGTTCAGTTCATGCTCTCTAGCTCCCCTCTCTTTTCCTTTGCCCATGAGGCAGCAGAAATTAGTGGAAGTCTTGTCAGCCTTTGCTGTTACAGCACACACATGCATTTCAACTCCTTTTCTCGTGACACATTTTACATGTGATGGAAAGCTTCTGTCCACATTCCTTCCCCACATCTTTGTCTCCATAGACCACGGGCTCTGGTGTTTCTGTATTTACCTTGAGACCTGCGCTCTCGAGATGTCACTGACATTCTCAGAAGTTGTCTAGTCTTCAAATCCCTCTGCATAGCAGATGCCCATCACTGTAATTAAAAGTGGGTTAGGTGCAGGGCCTCGTGAAAGCCATTTTCATTTCTAAGGATCTCTAATACACAGGCTTGTTCTGACTTGTGTGCAGGTTTGAGGTCCTTACTTCTTACTAGATCAATATGCTTCTCTGGTGCTTGATTTTTCTTCCTGTTCCCCTAAAGGACTTCCTCAGGGAAGTGCTCAAATGCTTTTACTAGCTCCATCCATAGAGCTCATAGAGGGAGAGCTTTCTCTTCCTTTCTGTAATTATCATGAAAATGTCTGAGGATTTTTGCACTCCTCTAAAAACATGCTGGTTATCACTCATTTTGGTGGTCCTCTGGATTCCAGCTACAATTTCTTTTTCCTTACCGTTTTCAGTGAGTGGCTAAGGAACTGCTCTCCTGTCATTGGATCACTAGTATTTATTGCCTTTCTCCGCCAACAAGAGATGAGTTGTTAGTCCCCTTTCAGCACCAAGCTTTTACCCTGTTCATTTTTCTAGGTGCGACACAGCAATTCCCATCCTGTTCCTCTCCTATGTTTCAAGATCGTCCAGAGCTGGGGTATACAACTCTCCTGTTCACTTGTGTTTTTCAGTTAACTACTGCTCTCCTCATTGGTTCTGCACTGTCCCCTGGACTTCCAACTTTAATTGACAGTATCAACACATGCAACTGTTTTGTGGCATCCTCCTTTCATTCAGTTCTCAAGATATGTCTTCCAGGCATGAAAGACCTGTTAGAGATCATGTGTTGATCCTTTCTAGAGCTAGCAGTAGTGGGTTCCAAATCCAAGTCACTTATTCTTGCCTGGTGGTTTTTATCCAGCTTGGCAATTGGTTGCTCATTCCCTCTCTGCTTCAGTTTCTCATGCAAGTAGTTCAGTGCTGCTTCTCTGCTCCCTCCACTTTCTGCACCAGGCTGCATGTCTGTGGTGCTGCCACACAACTGCAGGCCATAGAACATGATGACAGCCTTGCCTGTGGAGGAGTGGGCCAGTGCATGAGAACAATTGGCTGGCCAAACGATATGGAAAGCGGGCAGGAAGAGAAAGTTGAGGGAGAGGCTGGGAGGCTGACTGTAACAGCACCAGCCAAGGCTCTCTCCTGGCCTAAGAGACCATAAGGGTGGGTTAACCCTTTGTGGTCTGTGGTAAGGCTTATTATTATGGACTTATTGGGGTTTAAAAGGAGCCTGGATTAGCCAGTGGGCCCACAAGATAAAGACTGTACATAGTTTAAAGTTTGGGAGAAACCTGAGAGAAGCAGGGTGAATCCCAAACCCAATACACAGTTCTTGTCTTCTCTGCATAAAACTTGGTCAGAATTCAGCTTTGCCACTTCTTCAGGATTTCTATATCCTTCCTTAGGTCATGAAACCTATTTATTCCTCCACAACGTTTGCCACTGGGTTTTCCTTATGTGCCTGGGTTTTGCTGAAGACTACCTCAGCAGCTATAACCCCAAACTCCTTCCCTTGTTTCTCAAACTGTAACTGCATCAAGGTCTTTATTATTACAAGACGACTGTTGCTTGACTTCCATACATAGTTTAGGTTTTGTCTTATAACTTAATTTCTACCATTTCTCTCTCCCAGTTATGACTTAGGGCAGCTCCCAAAGCCATCAACTAGGACACTGTGTTGGGCCACTAGGCTGTCACAAGATATCACACTTTCATTCTGGTTATAGCTTTCTTTCTAGCCATTGTGCTATTTGTGCTTGGATGGCCCTTTCTTTTAGATGTGATTCGAGCATTCTCCTTGTTTTGGGAAACTGTGTAGATCATTTTAATATACATAGCGAATTGCCCATCAAGAATGACCCAAGGGGAAAGGTAGGAATGGAGCCCTGTGTCGGACCCCGCTCCCCTTCCTCCTCCACCCGCCCCTCCCTGGGTCTGACCCTGCTACGATGGAGGGGCTTCTGCCTTTCCTCAGTTGGCCCCACTGCTTTTGAAGTGCTCTACCCTTTTTTTTGGCACTGTGGAGGTGGTGCGGAGGGAGCTGCAGTGCTTAAGGCTGGAGGAGGTGAAGCCGATGGACGGGCTCCCGCTTTTCCTCAGCTGGCCCTGCCTGTTGCTTCTAAAGTGCTCTTCCCAATTTTTAAAAATTGTTTAAGTTTATGCCACGTGTGGAGGTGGGGTGGAGGAAGCCGCCACACCGGAGGCTGCAGGAGGAGGCAGCTCTGGTGGAGGGGCTCCCATTTTACCTCAGCTGGCCCCACCCCACCCACGCAGCCAGTCGGCACATGCTCAGTCGGGCAAAAGCATTACAGACAGACTAAGCCTTTTATTATATTAGAATAAAAAGCTTAGTCTGTCTGTTTGTAATGCTTTTGCCCAACCACACATGCACCGATTGGCTGCGGGGGCCCGGCAGGCAAGGGCAGGGCCAGCTGAGTTAAAACGGGAGCTTCTCCCCTGCCCCTCTTCCTCCCCCTGTCATTCTTGAAGGGCAATTTGCTAGTTTCCACATAATGGAATTTCACCTGCTGCAAAATGTCTCCTCGTTTAATTCTTTTGTCCCATATTCACAAATTCTGCGAACTTCCTTTTATCTGTACAGTATCTCCCAACTTATGTACTGATCTCTGCCATGGGACTGTTCTCTCATTGGATGGGATGATTGCTTTAGTTGCACCTGTAGTTATCATAGAATGATCCTTTTCTAAGCCTTGTTTATGATGAATCAGTCTCTCCCAGAAAAAAAAAACTTTCAGTGTCAGCCATCTGTCGTGGATTCTTTTCACCACCACAAGTCCTTGCTTTAAACCTTCACTGGGATAAAACTCATTTCCATGCCTTTGCAGTGTGTGCAACGTCTTTTAATTTTGGTACCTTGAAACAGTAAAAGCTTGCACATTCTTCTTTCTAGTACATCACAGATCACTGCATCTCCACCCCTGTCCCTGGTGATTGTCAGTTTCCTACCCTTTTTCTACTTCAAAGTGACCCGTGCTTTGTTTCCTATGTCCATCTCTCCACTATGTGGTGACAAGTACCATCGTCTATTGAAGTTTTCTCCGTGCAGCACTTTCCTTTTCATCCTAAATGCCCACTTCCCTTGTCCTTGAAGGCCCTAATAGAATCTATAAGTTCATTAGACCCGTTCCCTACATGCCAGTTGGTTCGTGTCCATTCAGTCCACAGTCACAAACACTCTTTAACCGCTGCCCCTCACAGGATATCGAGGTCTCACTCCTGACTTAATATGCCGCATCCAGGGAGGACAGGTGGAGCTGTGGGTCTGTGCTGATGAGGACCACAAGAGAATATCAAGGTCGGAGTGCCTCCTGCCAGGTGAGTTGTTGTGGCAGGCCCCCGTGCCCGACTCCCTTTCTCCTTCGCACCTGGCCGGGCACCAACTTATCCACACAGGGGAGAAGCCACACGGGTGCCATGAGTGTGGGAAGGGCTGTACCCAATCCTCCAGCCTGGCCCAGTGCCAGCACATCCGCGCAGGACCGAAGCCATGCCAGTGCCCTGTGTGTGCAAAGAGCTTTGTTCTCCACTCTGACTTGGTTAGGGACCAACTTATCCACACGGTGGAGAAGCCACATCAGTGCTTTACATGTGGGAAGGGATTCACCGAATCTTCCAACCTTGCCCGGCATCAGCGCATTCACACGGGGCCAAAGCCACGTCAGTGCCTTGTGTGTGGGAAGTGCTTCAGGCGCTCCTCCCACCTATCCCAGCATCAGCACATACACACAGGGGAGAAGCCATATCAGTGCTCTGTGTGTGGGAAGAGCTTCACTCATGCCTCCAGCCTGGTCCAGCACCAGCGCATTCACACAGGTGAGAAGCCACATCGGTGCTCCACCTGTGGGAAGGGATTCACCCAGTCCACCACGCTGGTTCGCCACCAGCGCATCCACACAGGTGAGAAACCACATCTGTGCCATGAGTGTGGGAAGACGTTTACCGTATCCTCTAGCTTGGCTGACCACCAGCGCATCCACACAGGGGAGAAGCCATATCAGTGCTCCGTGTGTGGGAAGAACTTCGGTCACTCCTCCCACCTTTCCCGGCACAGTCGCATCCACACACGAGAGAATCTACATCAATGCTCCGTGTGTGGGAAGAGCTTCATCCAGTCCTCATACCTGGCCCTGCACCAGCGCATCTGCACCAGCATGTCCACACCTCAGGAGCATCCATAATTCCGCCAACAGTGCAGTAAACACTTGTGGATGTCCATTTGCTGAGCACCTGCATTCAGGCAAGCAGCCACAAGTTGGTGTAGAGCAGAAAGAGTTCACCCAGTATTTGGCTCTTTTAGGGTACTGCAGAACCCAAAGGAGTCAGAGGCTGCGCCCAGTTGTGATTGGGTTGTGGGGGGGCTAAAAAAAAACACTTCAGGCAGAGGTGAGCCCAGATGCTGGGGGAACTTACAAGGAGACGATGTTCGTATCAGCCTTAGTGCCTCTGCCTTCCCCATCATTCTCCAAAAGCAGCCAGTGCTCCAGGGGCAGAAGGGTCTTCGCATTAGGGTGCCCTTCCTGAGACACCTGGTTCCAAATGATACCCAGGGACTGTCCTGGGCTGCCTCCCAGCTTCGTCCTCCCTCCTCGTCCCCAGGTTCTGGTATGAGACCCTTGAGTTGCAGGAAGGAGGACATTTATGCCTGAAGAAGCATTCTCTGCCTGCCACACTGACCTTCCCTTTTCTGCTCCCACCCCCTGAGCCCAGTTTGGCAGATTTTGCTTTTCAGCGTCTTTCCAGTACTACATACCACTGGATGCCTGATGCTGCCTCTGCCCTCCTCCTCTTCTCTGCCTTCTTTATAAGGCATTTTCTGCTAAGGAAGCCCCACAACTGAACATGATATCCCTGTGGATGGTTTCTGTATCTTGTCCAGAGCTGTGCAGTGGGAACAGACCAGGGCCCAGCACCCTTTCCAGAGTAATCACTGTAATCCAGGGGTTGTTGCTAACCCTCAGGAACAAGAGCTGGTCACAGTAAAGGCTTTCCTCCCATATCCTGTGCAGCAAGAACCCTGCACTTTTGGAGAAACCTCTGGCAAGGGAGCAATAGAGTCCCTTTTCTGGGGGAAATGGGGTAGCAGGACTGAAGGAGGTGCAGCCTGTGGCAGGTCCAGCCTCTCCTGTGAAAGGGTGGGGAAAGTATGAGGCCATCTCCTGGGTGAACTGCAGCAAGTTATAACCTCCCATGGTGAAGCTGAGGCCTCCCGACTCAGAGCCTGAGTGCCACTAGTGCCAAAGCCCTTTGATTTCATGAGTGTTTTATAGAGGCAACTCTGAAAGGTTAATACCCCAACATTGAGCACTTTCTTTCATTCACCTCCATAATTGTCCTCTCTGCTGTCCCACACCCCAATCCCTGCCAGTGTATAAAGCCATACCCCACTTTCCCTGTGTTACAGTGTTTTAAGGTAAAATTGTCTTGTGACTTTTGAATGAGCTTCTGTTTTTTGGCAGGAGGTCTGGCTTGTCTTGTTGCAGGTGGCCACAGAAAGGGAGGAAAGGGGACTTTGACATGTTGTGGAAGTGCCTGTTACTGGTTGAATCTCTAAGGGACTGGGGAGCAATGGGTGCTGGTGAGGGAGTGTGGGGCGAAGGGGAACATGGAGACGGATCAGTTAAGGTCACTTGATATATCTTCCCAAGGCTTGAGTTCAAAGCCTGCTTCTCGAAGGCAGTTCTCATTGGTTTTTGTGATATCATCTTGTGGAGAAGAGGAGGGTTTGTTACAAAAGTAAGTGCATCAACACTTCTCTTCAGGGCCCTGAGCTGGGTTGAATAGGAGCTTGGGGTGGCACCTAAGTCTACCAAGGCCCTTGTTAGCAGAAACGGGTCAGGCCTCTGTGTTGATGCAGCCAACCTCCCTTGCTGCAAAGAGAAAGGCACAAGGGGGGCAGCTCAGGCCATGGACATGGGGCCCATCCCAGCAGTCCCCAGTCCTGGGGTGGGGCAATGTGGGGGTGCCAGACTGGTTTTCCCAGCCATTCCTGTGGTGGAGGCTCATTCTGCCACTGCCAGTCTTGTCCCACCCCAGGGATTGCCCCATCTTCTCCCCCACCCCAGAATTGGCTCGCCCAGCCCCTCCCTCACCCCAGGGGGCACCTGGATGTGGCAGCGGATCTGGAAGAACTCAGCCTCCACCTCGTGGCTGATGCTGAACTGTGCAGCCTTGCGCTGCTTCTTCTTTCCTGGACTTTGCCCTGCATAGCTCCAGGACCATGGTGCCTGGTGGAGGGGAGCAGGTTGGGGGTAGACCCCATAGTACCTCCCACCAGGGCCTGGCTTCCCACAGCCCTGCTGGAGCCGCCGCACACCCCTTCAACCTGCTCTCCAGCACTAAGGAAGCCCCCCAGTGTCCCAGGATGCCTCTCGATTAGGACCCCACAGCGCCCCCACAAAGTCCTGTCCCCAAGGCATAGCCCCACCCCTTTGTTGCTGGCTCTGCCTCTCCATTTTGGCCCTGCCTAGCAGCCCTCCTACTCCTTCCTAGAGTCCTGCCCGCAGCTGGGCCACACCCCTTGGGACTAGCAACTAGGCCCTGCCCCT